TAAGCAAATAATACGAGAAGCTGGGTTATATGGGGAAAAAAAACGTGGTATCAGGATTGGAGGAAGACTCATTAACAACCTGCGATATGCAGATACAACCTTGTTTGCTGAAAGTGAAGAGGACTTTAAGTATTTACTGATGAAGATCAAAGAGCACAGCCTTCAGTATGGATTGCATCTCAATATAAAGAAAACAAAAATCCTCACCATTGGACCAATAAACATTTTTATACATGGAGAAAAAATAGAAGTTGTCAAGGACATCTTGGATCAACTATCAACACTCACGGAAGCAGCAGTCAAGAAATCAAACGACATATTGCATTAGGCAAATCTGCTGCACAAAACCTTTTTAAAGTGTTGAAGAGCAAAGATGTGCCTGATCAAGCCATGGTATTTTCAGTAACCTCATATTCATGCAAAAGCTGGACAGTGAATAAGGAAGACCAAAGAAGAATCGATGCTTTTGAGTTAATGGTGTTGGAGGAGACTATTGAAAGTGTCATGGGCTGCCAAAAGAACCAACAGATCCGTGTTGGAAGAAGTGCAGCCAGAATGCTCTTGGAGCCCAAGATGGCCAAACTTCCTCCCTCATACTTCGGACATATTGTCAGGAGGGACCAGTTGCTGGAGAAGGGTATCATGTTTGGTAAGGTGGAGGGTCAGAGAAAAAGAGGAAGACCCCCAACGAGATGGATTGGCAAAGTGGCAGCATCAATGGATTAAAGTGTGGCAACGGTAGTGAGGTTGGCCCAGGACTGGGCAGGGTTTCGTTCTCTTATGCATAGGTTCGCTATGAGACTGGATGGCACCTAACAACAACAAATGCTGACTAGCATCTTCTAATGATGTTGGAGATGAATATGGTTGAGGTCTCTCTGCAGTGTGAAGACGATGGTTATAAAGTCTGACTAATTAAATATAATCAATGACAATCTGACCACAAGGACACAGGAACAAGTTTTCTGAACAACTATGTACTATAAACTGTACTAAGTTTAAACAAGGGTTCACAATGAAATTTAATGTGATATGTGGAAGCTATAAAAGAGTTGCGGACAGTAATTTGTGTTCCTTTATAAGTTCTGGGAATTTTCCCAACAGCTTTGACAAAAATGAATCACAATGAGTAAGCTTCGAGTTCCATTTGCCGTTGTGGCGCTGTAGGATAATAAACTGTACCACAAGGTCGATAGTTCAAAACTCACCAGCTGCTCCTCAGAAACCTTATACCATCGCTATGAGTCAGAACCGACGTCACTGAATTTAACAACAAACCCCTTTGCAGGGACTACAATTCCCAGAAAGTATCGCTCTCTTTCCTCAGCCTAAAGGGAGTTGTAGTTTAATTAACGTCTTGGAACTAAATTTTACACACACGCCCACCAGGACTAGGCCATAAAGGCATATCCTCTACTCCAGTTCTTCGCGGTCTCGGAAGCTGCTTGGTTTCCTGGCCTTAATTTGAAGGTTTAGCTGGGAGTTTGGATGCTGGGCTGTCCGTCGGCGAGGCGCTCTAGGCCGAGAAATTTTCGTCTCTATGACCATAGGGGGCGGTTCCCTGAGTTTTGCGCAAGACGCGCGAAGGGGGCGCGCGTCAGTTCCGCGCGTTGCTGTCTGGCAACCATGGCTGCCCCGAGAGGTGAGGTTATGGGCACCGGGAGGGGATAGCGGGCCGGGCTAGAATTCGCAGTCCTCGGTGGACGTTGGCAAACGCACATTAGTGCTTGTGGGCACCTGTTTGGCGGCGGAGCATCCTCCCTTCCCTCGGGGCTCTGGGGCAAGGCTAGGGCGTCGGACTTCCAAGTTTCTCTTTAGCCGCTCCTTGGTTTGAGTTCGTTCAGCCGTCTGTCAGGGCAACGCTGGGCAATCAGTCTCTTAAAGTGGCTCTCCTCGCGACGGACTCCGCGCGTGTCGAGACAAGCCTGCTTAGACGAGCTGGTTCATGGGTGGGAGCGAATTCAAACAGGCCCTGACTGCAGAGGAGCCGCAGAGGGACCCCTGCCCAGGTCCTGGGCTGGACCCGCATTGCCCAGCGGGATAGTTCTCACTCCTCGCAGGGTCACCACTGCAGTCTGCTGAGCCTTCTGCCCTACTGATGCATAGAGACTTAAAGGTACACAGCCCAAGCTGTGGCTGGTGTGTGTAACATCCACTAAAATATCACTGGGGTATTAAAACAGCACTGATACTGGAACGAGGTGGAGAAAGCTATCGTTAACAGAATTTCTCCCAGGAGAATGCTATAGTGGTTAGAAGGAGCGTTGGTATTCTGTTGGGAAGTGAGATCCACCATCCTACTCTAAGGATTGACACATTTGGATAATAATACTGTGACAAATTGCCATTTAAGAAGTCTGAGTAAGTGCATAGCACTTTTGTCTTGCTGACTGAGATATATAAGGACCAGAGCTGAATTTCTGGGCAGTAGAGCTGTAGCTAACAGGAGTTGAACGACATTTTGATTCTTCCTTTACCCTTCCCCCATAGAGCACTTGACTTCACCTCTTAATAAACTTTGAACAAATATTTAAAGAATGACCTATTGTAGAGTTGTCCAATTATTTTCCTGGTTGGAGAGTCCACACTCACCACGTAGGCCCTTCTGCTGCTGTGTAAGTCCAAACCTAAGAGTGCTTTTTTTTTTCATTGTAACAAAACAGGAAATAAAGGGTGGGGGGAGTAGAAATGTTTTGATAAAATATAGCAAGAGATCTTGAAAATTCAGAAGTTACATGATTTGAAATAGTTGCAGAAACTTACAGGTATAGACTTATTGCCAATAAATATTTGTTGTATCTTGGTTGTGTAACAAGTCTTATATGTCCTAGAAATGAATAATAGAAAATTGTTATTACAGTAGTTTGATATCCACAAAGAATGTGTATCTGAGACTCCTGAATTTCCAAATTCTCAGGACTTGAAACTAATGCCCCCATAAAATGTAGTAAAATCCATTGCACTATAAAAAATACACCATACCTCAAATGCACCTATAAATTTAGAACGAGTGGTTTAATGGGTTATTAAAAGATTTTCGCACACTTACTGAAAGATGTAAATTATAGAGCTCGTTGTTTTAAAGTGAGAGTTGGTTCTGACTCATAGTGACCCTGTATAGGGTTTCGAAGGTGTGGTTGGTGAGTTTGAACCACTGACCTTATAGTTCAAACCGACCTTGACCTTGAGGTTCAGTTCTTATCCTGCAGTGCCACCCCAGAACTCCAGACTTGAGCAATTCATAGAAACTGTTCCGTGCTTTAGTTTACCCCAAATTTAAACTTTTTAAGTTACAAACTACTTATTCTTAGGCTTCTTCATCTCTGCCACTATCATTAATTAGTGTTGGCTTTCTTGGAGATGGGGTGGCATTTTCCATACAACAAATGTACTTGGGACTAATGGTAATTTTGTAAGAAGTGGTGAGTAATGAGCATAAGATGTTTCTGCCAGTTAAGTTGCAGGTTAGGTCTGTAGTCTTGGGCATGTTTGAAATTCTCAACAAAATTTAACATGAATGATATTAACTTTGAAAATTTAAAATTAATAGCAATCAAAATCTCATACTGGATAATTTGTGAATGGAATGAAGAGAAGTTTTGATTTAATATTAAACTGAAGTGATAGGAAGTCATGCTTAAAAACGTTTAAAAAATTCCTTTAATATAATTTAAAAATTGTATTCTATCCAAAAACCTTATGTTTTATAAATATTTAAAATGTATTTGATTACTTTTTCTCTTATTTTCAACAGTAAAATACATAATCTCATATATTCATTATGCAAATATTTTCAAAGCTGACAATAATATAGGTCAGAGTATGTTTGTAGGCAATATATATCCAGTTTAGTGTTTAAACATTCACTTAATTGTGTTTGGAATCAGGAGCCTATATAATAGGTAAAATAACTTTTCACTTTGCTGGCCCAAGCTTTCTTATTTATGAAAGTGATGATAATCTAAGACATAGGTTGACAAACTTTTTTTACTTACTGATCTCTGTCCCAGATTGAGATTGATCTCTGTTCCAACTACTGAGCACTGTTGTAGGGTAAAAGATGCCAGAGTATACAGAAATTTCTGTAAAAACTTATTTATGGACACAAATTTAAATTTCATAAAGTCTTCACTTGTCACAGAATGCTAACTTCATATTTTTATCAACCATTAAAAAAAAATCATTGTGAGCTTGCAGGTCATATTGAAACAAATGAGGACAGCTGTAGTTTGCTTACTGCTGACCTGGAAGATGGGAAATGCTTTTTAGCTACTGAGTAATTACAGGTTATTACTGATTATTTTTGAAAGCATACATTTATCCTTAGTGTAGGAAAATGTAGAACAAAGGAAATATTGTGAGATCTTCTACTTCCTGTTATATAAACTTGCTTCTGTTTAAACATTTCCAGATCTTTTGGCAGGAAAATTTAGGCAGATACAAGCTGTATTTCTTCTGTGCTACCTTATTGGTGGTGGTGGTTATATGCTGTGGAGTCGGTTCCGACTCATAGTGACCCTGTATAGGGTTTTTGAGGCTGTAAATTTTGGGAACAGAAAGCCTCATCAGTCTCCCGTGGAACAGCTGGTGGTTTCGAACTGCTGACCCTGCGGTTTGCACCCAATTCGTAACCACAACGCTACCAGAGTTCCTTGTGCTACCTTATTAGTTACTACTTAACACCCAATGTAATTTACCAGTTGTTTTATTTCTTTAATTTTCCCAGTGGAAATTATATCAAAGAAGAGTTTCTGCTTTACATATGTAAAGATTTGTTGTTGTTGTTAAGTGCTGTCAAGTTGATCCTGACCCATAGCAACCCTGTATAGGGTTTCCAAGGAGCAGCTGGTAAGTTTGAACCACCAACCTTGCAGTTCAAACGGCTTTGCAGTCTGGCGCATTAACCCACAGCACCACACAGTTGTTTAAAAATTTATTTTATTGCCCTGTGTTTTTGAATTGGGGTTAGGCTCCCAAGCAGTGAACAGACATATCGTTAATGTTGGGTACAGTAGTTGTCCTGAGCTCTCAATGTAAGGTTGTCAAAGTATGACTGGCTCATTGACCAAATATGACTCATAACTATTTTCACATGGTTTGAGAGCTAAACCTGGGTTTTACAGGTGAACACTTTCAATTGATTGGATGATGGAATGCTAACTTTAAACCTTAATTAAGTGAAACGTTCCACCACCACCACCAAAAAATAAAAAGAAAAATTCCTGGCAACTTTATGTATAACAGGATGCAATCTTGTCCAGTCCTGTGCCATCGTCCTGAATCATTGGCGGTGGTAGTGGTGGTGTGTTGTTGAGTTGATTCTAACTCACAGAGACCCTCTACAGGGTTCCTAAGGCCATACATTTTTACAGGAGCAGAAAGCCTTATCTTTCTCCCATGGAGCGGCTAGTGGATTAAAACTGCTGACCTTGCGGTTAGCAGCAGCCTAAAGTGCAACTCATTCGTCACTCAAGTATTACTACATTTTGAATTTTGTTGAAGAATTTGTGAGAGTTTCTTTTCATTCTTGTTGCATAAGGACCTTGATTTTTCCTTACTGCCTGGGAAGCCTAAAGATATTTGCTAAAGAAAAAGTTTGCTGATCTGTATTTAATCAGCCAGATGATTTGAATTAGAGGTTAAGGAGAGCTGAAGAATGAGAGGTGGCAGGTGGGTGAAGAAACCAGAAAAAGTTTGACCTCTGGATGATGGCAGTGTTAGAGAAGGACTGAGAATGTGGACCTGTGAGGGAGGGAGGATAGGAGAGCCCGCTCCTGCCCCCAGCGTTTGTGGTTTCATCGGAGCTGTTTGATAAGACTTCAAGGTAGAGATGCTCTGAGTGCCTGAGTGGTAACTGCACCTCACATATACTTGCAAGTAGTTTTAAAATGATAAATTGTCTATTTCCTGCATTTCAAGTTTTACAGAACTCCTTAATATTCTTATTTTGATATGAAACATTTCTCTGCATAATACAGTGAAATGAGAAACTAGATGGGATTTGTTTTTATGGTAAACTTCTACATTAAGTTCTACTTTTATCATTCAGTTACTCCTTTTGATACCTTCCTGCTGTCTTTACTTTTAGAGTATATATCACTGCATTCATTTTTATCTTGTTTTCTTTCATGCTTTGCTTTGATTCATAATCATAAAGCTAGCTCTTGACTGCTAATCAAAACGTTGGCAGTATGGACCTAGTCAGTGAGTTAGTGGGAGAAGGACTTGGCAGTCCAATCCCATAAAGATTAGTTTAGAAAGCCCTGTGGGGCAGTTCTACTCTAGTACACACAGGGTTGCTATAAGTTGAAATCAACTCAACGACACCTAACAACAAACTAGAGTTAGTATATCGTATTATCTTATAACTAGAGCATTCCCCAGGAGCAAAATCAGTGCCTAAATGAAGTTGATGTTTAAAGTCAGCTGTGTTTTATGTATATTTGTTTATTATATTCACATAATTAGAAAATATTGTTTTAAAATAAATTTTTAAGTGTCATTGATTTCAAAAACGATTTCATACTTGAAACTAGAAAGCAATTGGGTTATACTAATTAACTTTTATGTACATAATATTCTCTCCTCAACAATGTTTTTTGTTGCACGTATTTTCCAGAGAATGTCAATTTGTTATTCAAGTTATACTGCTTGACAGTGATGACCCTGGTGGCTGCAGCTTATACCATAGCTTTAAGATACACAAGGACATCAGACAAAGAACTCTACTTTTCAACCACAGCTGTGTGTATTACAGAAGTTATAAAGTTATTGCTAAGTGTGGGAATTTTAGCCAAGTAAGTATAAATGTAATTTAGTATGCAAAGTTATTTTTTCCTACTTAGTTAAGGTTTTGTTGGTTTCTTTTAATTAGAAAGTTCAAGCTCCATCTCTTTATATGTTTGATTGCTCTAGAATAGTATTTTTCAACCTGGGCAATTTTGCCTCTCTCTACCCACCAGGAGACCTGGTGTGGCGCTGTGGGCTAATGTGTCAGACTGCAAAGTCGTTTGAACTGCAAAGTCGGTGAGTGGTTCAGGCTCACCAGCTGCTCCTTGGAAACCCTATACAGGATTGCTATGGGTCGGAATTGATTCGACGGCACTTAACAACAACAACCTGCCAGGAGATATTTTTGGTTGTCATAACTGGGAGGACACTACTGGCATCTAGTAGGTATAGGGCAAGGATAACAACTCAGAACAAAGAATTATATGATCCAAAATTACTGTGGTCAGTAATGTCCTGGTCAAAGAACCTTCCTCTACAGAAGGGCTGGGCAAACTCTGAGTCTTGGACCATATCCAGCTCTCTGTCTGTGACAGTGACCATATGATCCACTAAGCCCAAAATATTTACTTATAGGAAAAGAATGCTGACCTTTGCTTTAAGAGGGATAAAAGATAATAATAGTTAATATGTCTTGTATTCCTGTGTTAAGTGGTATGCACTGTGGCAAGTACTTTTTGTGAATTATTTAATCTTTACATTTTTGAGGTGAGTGCTATAATTATCCTCATTTTTCTTTCTTTTTTTTTTTTTTTAAGTTTTTATTGTGGATTGAGTGAAAGTTTTCAGGGCACATCATCGGTTTCACATTCAAACATTC